TTAATCTCAGAATTCTGACTTTTTTTCTCACAATTCTGACTTTAATCTCAAAATTCTGACTTTAATCTCAGAATTCTGACTTTTTTTCTCACAATTCTGACTTTAATCTCAAAATTCTGACTTTAATCTCAGAATTCTGACTTTTTTTCTCACAATTCTGACTTTAATCTCAGAATTCTGACTTTTTTCTTAAAATTCTGACTAATCTCAGAATTTTGGATCTTAATGTAGATGGGCACCATGAGGGAAGAGATGTGGAGCACTCGGCTTCACTGACAAAGATGTGAATTTTTTGGGAGGGCCAGTAACACAATGGTGGAAAATGTCGCAATTAGGCAACTTTTTATGTGCCCTAGGGGTCCCTGGCGATGCTATTTCCTTAATGGAAGAGCAGAGGGTGATTAAAACAAAAAAGCTAGTCCCTAAAAAAGGCATGGCTACGGCTTGATGCTAACATGTTTGTTAGCCATCAGAATTGAGTCAGAATTCTGAAATGAAAGTCAGAATTCCAGAAAAAAAAGTCAGAATTCTGGTTTTAATCTTAGAATTCTGACTTTTTTGTTCTCATATTTGGTAAATGTAAAAATAAGTTAATTTATTTTTATTTTTTCAGTGGCCCTTATCCGCTTCTGTAGAGAGTGGCTTAAATTATGTAAAAATAAAAAAACGGGGCCGCCTTTTACAGATGCTTTTTGTGTCTGCTTCTGTCGGCCAGTCGGCCTCAGCAGATGGCCGCTCACACTGAGCCTGGTTCTGCTGGAGGTTTTTTCCTGTTCAAAGGGAGTTTTTCCTCTCCACTGTCGCTACAAGCATGCTTAGTGTGAGGGATTGTATTGAGTCAATGAGTTGATGCAATCAACTGGTTTTCCTTAGATAGAAAACTTTGTATCAATCTGACTGTATGATCTGGTTGAACTGTAAACGCCTTGAGATGACATGTGTTGTAAATTTGGCGCTATATAAATTGAATTGAATTGAATTAATGAAGATGAAGCATGTTCCTCAGGATTGTATTTTTCAAACAAAAAAACCATAAAGGGGTGTAAATCTATACAGCTGATTTAATAGTAAATTTTTATGACTCCAACCTCACCAAGCTTCTGCTGGTGTTCACAACCAATACACAAAATTATTGATTAAAATTTGACATGTGTTAAGTTTTGTTTGCATAAAATGCATAAACACACACATCTGAAAAAAGCAAAATTATACACTGAAGCCCGGATCTACAGCTGGAGGTTAAGACCAGTTGTATCTCTGTGTTAGAATGGCTCAGTAAAAGACCAAAACTAGAATCTGAAACAATTTATTAAATCCATGAAGGGTGATTCATTGTAGCGACCCGACCAGACGAACGGAGAAAACAGACGAGCAACAACGTTCACACACAATGTTCAGAAATACAAAACCAGAAACTTAGGTCAAGTTTAAGAACCTAATTGCTGGACATATAAATGATTTAGAATAATCATAGTTTTGATCACAGGCATGTAATAACACTGATTGCAGGGCAATAAACTAACACATGCCTTTGACCCCATCAGGCATCTGACCAGCCTTCTAAGTAGCCCGACTCTCCCAGAATGAGGCCAGATCTCCTCGACAAAAACCAATAATCCTGGAGAACACTTTAACAGTAGCCTCATTTACACTATCCTTTTGAAACCGTGCCGAGAATGGTCCAAGCACGGTAACCGAGGTAACTTTAGAGTGTAAATGGAACGCAACTGAAACGGACCGTGCCAGACACAACCAAACCGCACTAAATCTACACTCAAAAAATTATTCACAGGCTTTGTAAATATCATAGTAATAAATAGCTATACTAACTTAATAAAATCTCAAAAAAATCACTTAAGGGATTATTTGAGTTGTACATACCAAAATAAATGTCTAAAAATTCAACTGTTATTTTTGTGTCCAATTTACAACTATGACTTAAGTTTATTTCACAAAATGAAATTAGTATTTGCTTAACAAATTAATTTTTTATATATATTGTAAATATTTTTGGTAAATTACAAACAAAATATTTGGGAATGGATTCATTCTACTGATTAGTTTCAAGAACTACAAGTAGTACTCATTCTAACTTAATATTATTTCAACTTAATCATCTACTTAAGAAGTTGAGTAATTTACGCGCCATATTGACGCTAATCGTGCAGCCTCATGGGAAATCTGGGCCTCGTTAACAAGTGGCAGCCTGCAGGTGGAAGGAGAAACGCCGATACAATCAGCACCTGGGAGATTACTGTGGTAAGTGTCCAGCTAGTAAGAGTGAATGAAATATTAATCCTGTCTTGTGCATTAAAAATTTTGCACTAGTTCAACAGTAGGGTTCGGCACGGTTCATCTGTGGCTCGGTTCTCTGATAACAAAGAGCGCATGAGCACACCGCCTCATCTCATATTTATAGTCAGGAGACTCATTTTGTAGGTTTTCCAGCGGGTCCAGGTTTTAAAATTCACAGATCTCTTCACATGTTCACAACACTAACTTCTTCTCAGCCTATTAACAATAAAAACTTTGTTTATATCCCACACTCTAGCTTCAATCAAAATGTTTAATAAGGAAATTCCCTTTAGACCTGCATTTAAGTCACTTTTCCCACAACATTCAAGTTTCATTTATCCATTACTTTAGCCGATTGTTTGGGCTCTTTTTAACGGCTCAGTTTGTCTGTTTGGACGGTTACAAGTTTGTCACAATTATTTGACTATCAGCTTTGCATCTGAGAGTCTGACTACTAGCCAAACAAAGATGGTTTTATGCCTCTATTTATAGCCACAACCTGTACAAAATAAAAGCTCCTGAACCTGAAACACACAGATCTGATGAAGGGATCTTCTGGAGACGTTACAGCGTGCATGGCGGGAATGTTGTGTGTTCAGTTCTGTACCAACCGTTCTGAGGAAATTAGGAAAAACATCAAAGCTACTGCGAACAAAAATTGGGGTAATTATGTTTATAATAAACTGTGATAATAATCATACGTTATTTATCCATCCAGTCCTACTAAACATAAAGGAAGAGCCATTACAGACAGTTATGGTCATGCAACATTTTAATTCTGCTCCTATTATAACATGAGGATTAGTGCTAAGTGCAGAAAAACTAAAAACTAAATGTATGCAAATTAAATATTGTCCTGTGTGTTGATTTTTGTTGAGGAAAAAAGTTCAAGTTACATTTTTTCTGTCTCACCAATGCCTTCATGGAAACATGAGCGACCGGCCTACAGAAATTATTACAAGAGTGCATCAGCAACTCTTCCAGGAGGTAACAATCGAACCCAGAGCAGAATCTAAAGCTCTACAGGCCTCCTCTGCTTCAGTTCAATCATTCATACATTTAGGAGAATGAGAAGCAAAAACCAGCAGCAATCAAAAAGAACCTATTCGCCAGAGAGCAGAAATAGGAAGAAGATCCAAAAGACTTTTGGTAAAATAGTTTGTCTTTTGATACCAATAAAGATTAAATATTTTTAAAAGATGTAGGTCCAGATAGTACAGGTGCAAAACTAACAAAGCATTTCAGAAACTGATCACCTCAGCAGTAAAACATGGCAGTGGTAGAGTGGTGCTCTGGGACTGTTTTCCTTCTCTGGGTCCTGATATCTTGATTAGTTATCCTTCTTTATAGATAAATCTGAAGAATAGTTTCTGTCCATCAGTTTGGAGTCTTTAACCGTCACCACTGAACAGGTTGAAAAATGTAATTTAAATATATTTCTCATCCTACTCAAAGTCTGGGCTGTTGTGATGCTGTGCCTTAAAAAAATGATTTACCCTAAATATAAAAAACAAACCCCTTCCAGTGTATCTGAATTAAAATGCAAGAAGAAAGAGCCTAAATTCAACTAATTAATTACCGTTTAAAGCAAAACCTTAATTCAACCTGGAAAGATCACACAGAGAAAAGCTGCAATCAGAAAACATTCAATTTATTCATACAGGAAACACAATTGTATTCTTCAAATTATTTCTATTTAAGGAAAACCAGCTTAGTGCGGAAACTATTTGACCATCAGCAAACCCTGAGTATGCATGTAGTGACAGTGGAGAGGAAAACCCAGATGATGGCATAAATTAGATTAGGTATTTGGCGCTCTGGCCTTGGCAGAAGACTAAGATGCTTTGAATCAGCATTCGCTTGGATGAGTAACCCAGAAAGGGTTAGTAGTCTTCCCTAAGGGTCCGGACACTGGCGGTGGAATAAGCCAGACCCACCAAGCAAAAATTGGTTGAAAAGACGACATGATTTACGTCCCAAACAACGTCTACATTTGGTTGAAAAGTGAAAAGCTGTTATTTTCAGATCAATGAAAAGACATTGCAGACCCAGTTTGCAACGTCTTTTTAACGTTTATTATTGGACTCAAGTGGGACAAAATCAGAACGACCAAAAAGCCTAATTTTTAATGATTGTTGGACTAAATCAAGACTGTGACGGACCGACCAGACTAAGCCTAAAAACCAACGTCTAAATGATGTCTGGTGTTTGGGGGAATTGGTGCGGGAGAGAAGAACATAAAAAGGAGCCAAACCAAAGGGATCTTTAAAGATGATTTGCTGGAGCAGAATAAGGGACATGGCAGGAGGTTCAGGTGAAGCTGCAACAGTCTTTCACATTGAATTTACACTTAAGCTTTAGTTTTAGTAGTTGGAAAAAGAGGAACATAAAATGTAACTTTACTTACAGCTATTTGAAAAAAAAAAAGAAAATATAATTTAAGACAGTTTTATTTTTCAAAACTTTTACGTTGAAAAAGATAAGGAGGACAAATACATATTTGTCAGTGTTTTATTTTGATGTTTTTCCTGTCTGAAATCTGAATATCAAAGTATGACAGAAATCATAAAAGATATATATTCTTTTTTGCTACAGTAATGTGGTTTTCATAGAGTCATTATTTCCATTTCAGTGCATATACAAAGAAACATCAATGAAATATAGACATTTTCACGGTGACCACAGAGTTGTCATATCAGAGCAGGATGCTGGACGCCAGCATTTTCAAATGTAAGATTGGAACCTTGCAATTTGAAATCAAATTTGAAAAGCTTTTCCTAATAGCAAATTTTCTATGTCTATTCTGGTCCCTGAGATTTCTGGAAAGTAACTCTGTCATTGGTTAGAGCGCCACGCTTTGTGAACAAACTGACAAATAACCTGGTTTTTATTGTGCTCAGGGACCAGAAGGGTCACAGAAAGGGTAAATTGAGCAAATCAAAAACAAAATGCAATCTAAAAAAGGATTTGAAATGCAAGTTGAAAAAGAAAATGGACTAAGGAATCAATTTTGTTAAATTATTAAATGTATTTATAATTAGATTTATGAATTATGGCTCTTTAATCTCCTAGTCAGAAATATGATTTGAAAATACATTTTCATATTCCAGTATTTAATGCTGGATTTATAAATACAATTTACAATTCCTCTTTAATAATTAATTTTAAAATGTGCCATTAGAAAAAGCTTATCAAATTGGATGTCAAATTGCCTGATTTAAATGCTAAATTTGAAATGCCTGGTTTTCTTCTTCAGTGACTCTCTAGGTCCGCCATACCTTAGACATTATATACATGGATGCCTCATTGGACGTATATCATATAATATATAATATTATAGTATAATATAATATATAATAACATTATATTATATAATAAAATAAAATATATATTATTATTCAGTATTTTTAAGGATTGCTCTTAAAATGTCTATGATTTATAGAGGAAAATTTGTTGTAATTTGATTTACAAAAGAGGGTTAAGTTATTATTTTATGTTTTTATTTTTTGTCATTGTCAATACCTGTGTCAAAACTCTTTTTCAAACTATATATATATATATATATATATATATATATATATATATATATATATATATATATATATATATATATATATCTTTTAAGGGATTGTGACATGTAAGGGATTATTGTAATATTATCTCTGACTCGTCTTCCATGAGATTAAAATGAGATCTAAGGCAACTGTCTGAATTGTGGTCCGATCCAAGATGGCCGCCCTCTAGGCACGTCGGCCTCGCTGCCGGCAGCGTTCAATGCACATGACCTCCACATAACCCCGGAAAAGTTGCGGGGCTAGAACGGGTCACGTGACTGGTTGTACCAGTTAGACTTCCTGTTAATTCATTACTGTTTATTTATTCTTTTACTGTTTCTGAAAGCCGTGTCATTTATTTATTACCAAAGGAATCAAGCTATTGTTGAAGCATTTTTGTTAATGTCAAACTCCCTTTACTCTGGAGACGAAGAGGCTAAGCTAGCACAGCTGTTAGCCTCAGAGGTTAGCTTGGTTTCTACCTGCTGAGGAGCTTCTACCTTCGCCCATAGCTCCAAACCACCCTGAGTTTATTTTGCTTTGCCAGCTGCCGCCATGGCCACTTTCCTGTCCGCACGATGCGCTGTCCGTCTGAGGACACCTGTAGGTCCGATTCATCTGAGAAGAACCGCAGCGGGGATCTCAGCTCGGTTCTATAGCAGCAGGACGGGTTCCTCTGCGGACTACCTTCACCAAAGCGTTGTTCCTTCCATGCATTACCAGAAGAGTTTACCCAGGTAGGAAAACCAATTCAAATAAACCCCTTCTACAGTAAATAAGCTGTTCTAACGTTAGCAGGACCACAATGAGACAATTTAAAGGATTTGAGCAACGAGAGAAGGTTAAAAAGGAAAGTAGGGTAAAGGGTACGTTTGATTTCGACTCCGTGACCACCAGATGGCAGTGAGAGAAATACAGTGATTGAGTCTGAAAACAATTAATGTCATGTTGTTAGGTGATCATTCTCCAACATAAACAAATTATTTTCTTTATTTTAAGAAACACAGTAATTTCCAAAGACCTTTAGGTTTGATAAAACCCATAATTATTCCTATAAAATATTATTCGTTTAAAAAAGGGACAAAAATATAATTGAAATGGAAACAATTTTAACTGTTAAGAACCTCATCCTGTAACTACCGATTTATTCAACAATTGCTTTTTCTTTGAATCTAAATTAATGCCTTAGACCTGATCTAAACTAATTTTCACAATTTATGTATCTGCACAAACCTTATTTTCATTTTACAGGACAAAACGCACTACGTGGGATAAGCTTTTAAAATCTATCGCATCTTAATTAACTCAAATCTTTGATCTGCTGGGATGTTTTTCACTTCATTAGGAAGATGAGTCTAAAATATAATAAAAGCTCACCTCATAAAAAATATGATTGCTGAGCATATATAACGAGCCAACCTGGCTTATTATCTGCTGAAATCATAAACTACATTGGTTGTAAACCACTAAATTAAATCCTTTTTACAACCTGTTGGTTTTTGATTAATAGTCAAAGTTCCTTCAGGCGTCACTTTGTGGCTTTCAACTGTTTTCGGATCTGGAAGGAGACATTTAAAGTTAGAATTCAAGAAGAGAAAAAAGAGATTTAATCTAGTATGCCTTGACATTTGACAGGCTGTAAAGATAAAGATACTGAGATTTTATGGTTTCAAAACCACAAATGTAAAAAAATAAAGATTCTGTCATTCATTTTAAAATGATTTTAAAGAGAATCAAAGGAAAGTTTACACACAGCAAACTGCTGAGGCCTGTACCAGGAAGCAGGATAACTGGGTTAGCCAGAAAACTTCAGGTTTAACCCTGACTTTAAACCATATTTATTAGTATGGGTTTATTTTCATTTGTTCAACAATCACTCTAATGGAATAAGGTAGGCTATATTAACTGTTAAGCTTTAGAATATACAGCAAAGTTTATGTGTGTTTCTAAAACACTCCCCAATTTCAATGAGATATAAAAGCAAAGCTGAATAACAGATGCATAATACTGACATCTAGTGGTTGATGTGTAACACAGCAGTTGTTCTGTTGCAGATAATCTCTAATTTAATTAAAACTGTGTGTTTTTTCTTTTATGCATCCTGTGGATTAGTAACAGCATCTTATCTTCCTTTCCAACCAGCAGCTGAAACTTTCTTCTCAGTGAAGTTCTTTCTTCTTTCTCTGCTCCTCAGACTCCCCATCCCCAAACTGGAGGACACCATCAGGAGGTATCTAGCTGCCCAGAAGCCTCTGTTGGATGAAGCCCAGTTTGCGTAAGTTCCTACCAGGATTATAATTTATTTTCATCACTTGGTGCTGGAATGTTTACATGTAGCCTTTTTAAACTTTTCTCGTCAGAAAAACGGAGAAGTTGGCTCAAGAGTTCCAGAGCGGCGTAGGGAAACAGCTGCATGAGGAGCTGGTGGCTCAGGACAAGAACAACAAGCACACTAGCTACATCTCAGGTGAGGGCGTCGGCGTCTAACGGCGTCGCAGAGCGTCTCCCTTTTAAAAAACCACCAGCAACCATTCTGTTTCACCCTCAGGTCCCTGGTTCGACATGTACCTGTCGGCACGCGACTCCGTGGTGCTGAACTCCAACCCCTTCATGTCCTTCAACCCCGATCCGAAGGCGGAGCACAACGAGCAGCTGGTGCGGTCGACCAACTTGGTGTGCTCGGCCGTGCGCTTCATGAAGACCCTGCGGGCGGGTTTGCTGGAGCCGGAGGTTTTCCATCTGAACCCAGCGAAGAGCGACACGGACCGCTTCAAGAACTTCATCCGCTGGGTCCCGTCCTCCCTGTCCTGGTACGGAGCCTACATGGTGAACGCGTACCCCCTCGACATGTCGCAGTACTTCCGCCTCTTCAACTCGACACGCATCCCGAAGCGCGGTCGGGACGAGCTCTTCACCGACGACAGAGGCCGCCACCTGCTGGTGATGAGGAAGGGCAACATGTACGTCTTCGACGTCGTGGACAGAGACGGGGGTCTGGTGAAACCGGCGGAGATCCACTCCCACCTCAAGTACATTTTGTCCGACGCGATGCCGGCGCCATCGCTCCCTCTGGGCGTCCTGACCAGTGAGAACAGAGACGTGTGGGCGGGGCTGAGGGAGAAGCTGGTCGCTGCTGGAAACGCTGAGGCGCTGGGGTTGGTCGACAGCGCCCTCTTCTGTCTCTGTCTGGACGACGAGAGCATGCGGGACCACATCCACATCTCCCACAACATGCTGCACGGCGATGGCTGCAACCGCTGGTACGACAAGTCCTTCAGCATCATCGTCACCAAGGACGGACAGGCGGCCATCAACTTCGAGCACGCTTGGGGCGACGGCGTCGCCGTGCTCCGCTTCCAGAACGAGGTGTTCAAAGACACCACTGAGAAGCCGCTGGTGCATCCAGGCTCCGCCCCAGCCTCTGTGGACTCGGCCTCCGCCGTCCGCAAGCTGCAGTTCCACCTGGACGGGCAGCTAGAGAACGGCATCCGCGCAGCCAAAGAGAACTTTGACTCCGCCGTATCGAAGCTCACCATCGACGCCATGGAGTTCAAGAAAGGTGGGAAGGAGCAGCTGAAGAAGAGCAAGCTGAGTCCGGACGCCGTCGCCCAGCTGTCCTTTCAGATGGCCTTCCTGCGGCAGTACGGTCAGACCGTGGCCACATACGAGTCCTGCAGCACGGCGGCGTTTAGGCACGGGCGCACCGAGACCATCCGCCCGGCCACCGTGCACACCAAGCGCTGCTCGCACGCCTTCGTTCATGAGCCCAGCAGGCACAGCGTGGAGGAGCTGCGGGCGATGCTCAACGAGTGCTCCAAGTACCACGGACAGCTCACCAAGGAGGCGGCCATGGGTGGGTTCAACCTGAAACACTTAAAACAATGCAGACAAAGATGGCCGCAGAAACACAGGGTTAGGAAATAAAACATTCATCTGGAAACAGTTTAGTACAAAAAATGCAAACAAATCCAACCAGTTTGTAAACAAACGTCTCGTTGGACAGAAACTCTTCAGTCAGAGACACTCCAGCTCTATCAGCTTTCTCTGGGATCAGGATCGATTTTTGATCCTTAACGGTGCAGCTTCACCTGGAAGCTTGTTGGGAAGTTCATCTCCTTCCAGGTTTTAGTTTTCTAAC